CAAAAAATTGGTTTCGAGGAAGAGTCAGAGGTGGAGGAAGTTATCTTTACAAGTGAGATATAATACATCTTGGGAATGTGTCTTATTAAAAAACACGTAACAAAAACAATTGGGGTAGCATTTTTGGAGCTGGAACGGATTAATGGCATTTCAATTAATTTCAATGGGGAAAATTACATTGAGATACGAGCAAATTGACATACGAGCAATGTTATGGAACGAATTAAACTAGTATCTCGAGGTATCACTGTAGTAAGATCCAAAAGCTTTTAAGGTGCATACATGAGATTCATTGGAGATACATAACTTTTATGTAATTAAATTACTTGACTTTTTGTTATCTACCCACAACAAAAAATATTAAATTATTTCATTTTGTTATAATGATTTAGCCTAATAATATCAGACTGTCGATTTAAAATTCAAAATGCATGAAGTTGAGTATCGAGCTGTGATCAAAATTTTGACGAAAGAGGGAGCTATCGGTGAAAATCAAACAACGTTTGGATGTAGTGTTCAGGCATTCTTCTTCTTTTCGTACCCCACCGTAAAAGAATGGGTGAAACAATTTCGTTTGGGAAGAGAATGAATTAATGATGAACCGCGTCGAGGACGACCATCCAAGGTTATTACGGATGAAAACATCAAATTTGTGGAGAAAACAGAACTGGAAGACAGACGGCTAAAGACTAAAGAATTAGTAGTTAAGATGGGACTTTCAGAAACAACAGTGCTTAGAATCCTACATGAACATGAAGGGTATTTTTAAGGTCAGTTCAAAGTGGGTCCCAAAACTTCTGAAGTGCTATATTCATATTTTTATAATTTTGTGAAAGCCGGCAGATGGAAGTGCTGGATTCAATCATTCCTGGTGATGAAACTATGGTTCTTTATCATAACCCTTTGTCGAAAAACGAATCAAAGGAGTAGCGTCGCCCGAGCTCACCGCGGCCAAAAAAGCAAAGGTTATTCATTATCAGGAAACGATTATGACTACAATCTTTTGGGACTCTGAAGGAATTTTATTGGTTGATTTTAAAGAACGCAACATGATAGAAATTGCTGATTTCTATGTTTCCTTGATATACCAATTGCGAGATGTTATTAAAGAAAAACGTCCAGAGAAATTGTCGCGAGGGTGCTTCAATGGGTGCCATTAAGAAATGTGGTTTCATTGAGCTTGACCATCCACCATACAATCCCGACTTGACCCCAAGTGATTATTATTTATTCTTAAAATTAAAATCCGACTTGCGACGAAAAAGATTTGGCAGGTGAAGTCAGCAGTTTTGTTACATTTTGAGAGCAAAAGTTTAGACTATTTTTTTAAGGTTATAGAAATGTTATTAAAGCGCTGTGAAATGTTTATTGAAATAAAGGGAGACTATATTGATATGCAATAATAGTGGTTAGAAATTTATCTTTCATTTAGTAGTTCAGGTCACAAACTTTTGGACCTTTCTACGTTCCCACAGTATGTCTTCTAAACAAGTATGTATTGTATTATAAATTATAAACATAGATAAAAAGGGCCAAAAAAGTACTCGTATGTTTTGGAACTACTTCTAAGCTACACACGTGCTCTCTCCGGTGTATTGGGTAATAAGTCTTCGAGATAGTTAATGCATAAACCCATTTTGGTAGCGGTTGGGGATGTGTGTGGAAGATGTGGACGACCAAAGTGTCCAATTCTATCTGCTTGATTCCCTTGCGTTAAGCGAATAGTAGAATGGATTCCGATTGATCGACCAGAAGTAGTGTTATAAATTGATATAGGTATGGCTGGGGGAGATTTGGGATTGAAAGTTGTAAGTACCTAGCGAAGCAGATGCTCTTCGCCTATTATAAAACAACAAATATGGGCATACAAATGTAGGTAGGGTGGTTTATTTCGGTTATTAATTGCAGGTAGGAGAGAAGAAAAAGCGTTCAAAATGTGCTCATTGATGCTTATTGGCTAATGGTTCAGAAAACAGTCACCATCCTTTCTATGTTCCAGTTTTCAGGAAATGTGAAAACTGGCTTCGGAAAGCAGATAATATGATAGGAAGCAGTATAGGTTTTTGGACTGACAACCATATCTTATTCTCATTTTTTAACACTCCATGACAATTTTTGAGCATTAAGAAAAACTGACCCACAACAATTGATATAAACAACATTAGCTTTTGAAATGGTACGAATGGGTATGTAATCTAAGTCTAGATGCAGTGGATTTTCAATTGTACTTATTTCATTTATTTTAATTTTGTTTATGGTTCGTGAACCTGAAATCAACAGTGAACTATGATGACCACAAGTAGAGCAGATAAATCCAGATAACTTTTATGCACTAATTGTTGCTGGATGTGATATATTGAATGCCAATCCAGTGTCCTAAAATGAAACCCAATTGTACTCAGTTTTTGAAGAAAGCTATCAAAAATAACATTGTATCAATGAACGCATCAGCATGCTCGCTCATCATCTACGCAGCAGTAAATTGGGATATTCATATCATTTTTTGATGTCCGTTAAAAAAAGGAGGGAAGTATCGGAAAAGTGATCCACACTTGTCGCGGGGTCAACAATCTGACTCTCAACTCCCCCTGTTAATCAGTGGCATCGTCGGATGATTGCAAATTGCAAGACCTAACCGAGTTCAACAACAAATGCGCATATTCTCCAACAATCTCTGAATCAAGCTTCGATCGTGCTACCACACGTGCTCCACTCTACTCGCGCAATGTAAACAAAGACGCAAAATGCAACTGCGTTCTGAGCTCAGTGCATCGGCGTGAAACCTAACAGCTGACTGCCACAACAAAGCAATCAAACTTAACGATTCCGTTAGCAACGATTGACCTACACCTTTAACATGATGCGAAGCCTTACAATCAAACACTGATTGTAGTAATGAGAAACAAAAAAAAAAATACAAGACGTCCATAACTGGACATTCAACAATTACTGAATAGATTGTTACTTTTCTTTTAACAATACAGATTCGAATTTGTACGTCTCTGAAAAATAAAACATGATCAACTTGTAACAAAATAAAGAACATCAGTTTGTTTAGGTCTTATCGCTATCGCTGTAGGGGTTGACACAATGGCATAACAAGACGTAACGAAGGAGAATGGTAAAAATACTCGACATTCGAAAACATTAACACTTACTTTTTAAGAAGTTCGTGTTGTCGAAGGTGAGTTCGACATATGGGATGGTAGAAATACGCAAATCACCCTAATGTTTTGTACGAAATCACAAACGTAAACGATAAATTTTCGAGCACAATATCGCGATACGCGGTAGACAACAGAACTAAAACGAATAACAAAGATAGCAAAAGCAAGCAGGCAGTGAAGTTGATTCAGAACACGACCATCACATTAACTGCGGCGCTCGTGTGTACAGTTGTTGTTGAGCTGGCCGTGAGGCCGTGCTTTGTTTCTTCTACAGATGTAAAGCGCGCTTTATTTCGCGTTATTTTTGAATGTGCGTAATGAAAAGAACACGCAGTTGACCTTATTATAAACATTTGTATATTAACTTTACTATTTTAAACAAAAATTTGAATTATATTTACTCCTAGCGCGCCACTCCTTTTTACGCACTTTTATTAGAAAAATTAAAAAAGATCAATATAAAATTAAAAATGTATGAAAGGATGGTATATAACAGATGTTCATTACGCTTATGAAAAACAGAATACAAACTTTATTTAAAAAACGTTTACACCGAAACAAACTAAATAATGGTGTTTTCGCTCCAAACAATGTAAAATTTAGGCAAAGAGCGTGTTAGAAGCATATTAACTATTAAAGTAATCACTAAATGTCAGTAGTTATATTCTGTTTTTCTAATGTGAAAGTTATATGAGTAGGAGGGGGATACCCCACATACTAGAGTATGCCAAAATAAATATCACAACTCAATAAGGGAAGATGCCTACATAAAAAAGCAAATCATTTTGATGTCCATTTTACATACAAAATAAGACACTGGTCTGAATTATTTTTATGTAGGAATGAAAAAAATTATGACGGCGCGACATACAAAAGGAAGAAAAAAGAAAATATAATGAGTACGGCTTTTTGCCTTTGCTTTTTATGGTATATTTTATCGTCAAGATTACAGGGTTATCAGTCTCAAGACTGGTTGGATAGGCACCTTCACTCCTTCCTATCCTGAGTCAATTATTGTATTTCCTGAAAACCGGAACATTTTTAATTATCGGCGAATAGTAATCTTATCTAGTTCTTTCTCTGGCTCCTTTTACTCCTGTTTCTGCTTCTAGTATGTTTCTAACTAATCTCTATATTTCGGGTGTCCTATTATCCCATATTTCCCTTTTCCATTGATTTCCTCAGCACCGTGTTCTCCTTTTTCCAACACCTCATCATTTTAAAATCTTTTCTATCTACGGGACTTTTATCATTCTTTTATAATAGCGCAACGTATTATGCATCATTAAATTAATGATAAAATAGTACCAAGTGACAGTAGTTCATTTATATACTGTTTTCTTTTTCTGTCGAAAAACTTATATAGCTGCAGAAATTTATTTCTCTTAAAAAATTACAGCGTTCATAACAATACATTCATTATTATTTTATAAGTATTAAAAATCGAAATCATCTTAAAACCATACAATGATAATTAAATGGAATTTAAATCACTTAACAGGTACTTACATTAAAGAAACTCGAGATTTTATGTAAACAGTATTAGTACGTGTTGCACTTTCTGCAAAAACTGTTTAGTAATACAAGCAATAACTTCTATACTATACTTATTAATTATTATATTTACAAATTATTCCTTATCTAAAAAGAAAACCTGTGCGGTGTAATTTACAACGTAATTATTTGTTTTTTACTTTTGATTCAACTCTTATAGTAAAGGATGGACAGAAATACTAATTTCTCTGGGCCAATTTTCTATTTATAAATAGCAATGAAAATTGGATTTTCATAATAGCTCACTATAGAAAAATAAGAATAATTATTTTAAACAAGTAATAATACAACTAATTTAATGATATCAATAAAAAAACATGAAATAATATTTTTACAAAAATATTTCTCACACGGTATTGTTTTTCTCGCAAAAATATACAATGCGTTTATAAACAAAAACTGTACATTTTTACCGTGTTTTACAATGTTGTTCTTATTTACATGTCATAACACTAAAACTAAATAGTTTAAAAGACAATATTTAAAATTTATTCGATTAATCATTATAATATAATTACTACTAAAAATCACTTTTCAATAATTATCTTAACCAACAAGATTACTTAACAAGATCAATAATTGCTTTTTTGTTTGTAAGGATGTACTAATCTGTCGATTCAAAAATTTTTCTTTTTCAGCAAAACAAAACATAAATTCAAACTTAGACCGATCGTATTTTAAGTTTCAGAAAGGAAGGACAGATGGAACAGATAGGTATTTTAAAAATAATGTTATCATTCATTCATTACAAGATTGCTGTCCATCCTATAAAATATTCGTTTCTAATTAACCCCATCGTCTTTTCCTTAGCAGATATTACTCAGGAGCTCCGGGCCCATGATTGGGAGGTCCCTCGTAACTGACACGTTGGTCTAAGTTATTATCTGTTTGTGTCGAAATATTTTCAGTGGCCGAAGGAACCACCGACGTGCTCGTAGATGCATTGTTCCCCATCTGTTGTTGTTGTTGTTGCTGCTGCTGCTGTTGTTGTTGTTGGTGTTGTTGCTGTTGTTTTTTCGCGTTTGCCATTGCCTTGCGATCCATGTGAACTCGCTCGTGCAACAGTAAATAATTCGTTTGTCTGAAAGCTTTGCCGCACGTCTGACAACTGAACGGTTTCTCGGTACACGTTCCTTCGGGGTGTCTCTTGTTGTGATGATAAAGACCGTGCTTGGTACTGAAAGCCTTTGAACAAAAGCTGCATACGTAGGGCTTATGTTTTTCCAATGAATAGTTGGTCAAGAGACCGTTGACGAAAGTGTTCATGTTGGTATTGTTCTGTCCCGAACCGGCCACCGTTGTAGGCAGTTTTGGAGTCGTACCGTACCCGGGCGCGCTCAGCGACATCTGTTGCTGAGAGAGAACAAGCAAATCATTAAAGATCGAGGTGTCGCCGTCGTGGAACTTTTCGTGGATATGAAGGGCTTCGCGAGAGTTAAATTTGACAGGACAACGGGAACATGTCAATTCGGTGGTTGGTTGCTGTTGCTGTTGTGGTGGTTGTTGGTGTTGCTGAGGTTGTTGCTGTTGGGCTTGTTGTGGGCCTGATCCTACCGATTTGGTTTGGAACTGTGACGAATTGAAGGACACGTTGGCATGCATTCGGCTGAAACCAAAGTTCATAAGACTCCGAAAGGCCACTACTACTCCAAACAACTTTTGTCTTTATTACACAATTTAATACTCCTTCTGTACAACCAAAACTGTTATAAATGTGTACAGGAAACAAAATGGGAAAACCAATTTGATAAATTAGTTATTGTTATGCATACGACTTTTATTATAAATTTTTTCCCTCAAAGCTAAGTAGCAAATATCCATAACTTAACAAATGGAAACTAACAATAATCAATTTGTTTTAAAAAGCTCATGTAAAACAACAGACAGATTAAGAAAATTTAAAGGGAAGTTTTTTTTACTTTCATTCATTTTGAATTTTTATGAAGTAAAAGTGAGCCAATAAATTATTTCCATTTTTAATTATGCGTTATAATTTATAATTGTATGAAAAAGGACTTACTGCATGTGGGCCACTAATGTTTTCTTCTGTAAAAATTCTTTTCCACATATTTGACAAATTAATGGAAAATAACCATGACCATACATGCGACTGTGGTTCATTAGCTCAAACTTTCTTGTAAACGTCTCCCCACAGTTGTTACATCTGAAGGAATTGGTAGATCCATGAAACCGAGAATGGTGTTGCTAGAAATACAAACAGTAATATACATTTTTAACAAAATGAGTTGTATGTTACCAAATGCTCTTCTAATGCAAAAGATTCTCCACATTCTTTGCAAATATATGGTCTTTCACCTGCATGAAACTTTTGATGTGTGACAAGATGACGTTTCAATGGAAATGCCTGGCCACATTCATTACACTCAAAAGGCTTCTCTCTACTATGTACCTACAACAAAAACAGATGTTAAAGACTGCAAAATAGGTTTGTTTAGCGTTAAATTACCTTTTCATGTGCAACAAGATGGTGCTTTAATGTAAAACTTTTCTTACATAATGTACAAGTGTGTGGCCTGTCACTTTGATGCAGAAGCATATGAGTATTTAAACTATGCTTCTGTGTGAATGATTTGCCACACTGAAAACATGTATGGGGTTTGATTCCTGAATGCACTCGAACATGAGCAGTCAAATGACATTTTTGTGTATAACCTTTGCCACATTCTCTACAAACAAAAGGTCTATACTTCTGAGAATCTTCATTTGTCTCAGTTCTGTCTGGGTTTGGTACAGGAAAAGGCAAATCACTAGGATTTATGATTTCTCCTTCTTGCTTAAGAATATAGCACCCATTGCTCACTTCTTGTGTTGATGTTGATCCATTTATATCGTATCTTTTATCTAAAGTTCCTGGGATTGATCCATTGAAGTAATTGTGGTTTTGTGGTGGAAGTGGTATATTAGGAAAGTGATACTCATGCTCAGATTTAGTAAATATTGAACTTGCACTTAATATGGTCCGATCTGGTTTTGACAAAGGTAGCAGACCCAGGTTAGGTGTACTGTCTTTAATATCTGAATTGTTCTTCAGAATCTCCTTATTCAGGCTTGCAATTGCTTCACACATTATATTCATAGATAACTGGTTCAAACTTTAAAATTATTGCCACTAAATTCACTTACTAATTAAAATTCCACTTGTGATTAGTTAAAAAGAAAAGCTGTAATGGAAGCTTTATCACCTTCCGCTTATCACTTGGATGCTGAGATGTACCGTAAAACTTAATTAGACAAAAAATTGGTGTTTAAACTGAATGCTTATTTAATTTAAACATATTTTGTTATATTATGTTTATACTCACATACGCATATTGCAAGTAACCTTAAAATGCAAGAGTAAATGGCAATTTTTATCACCATCTGGTGTTCACATACAGATACAGGCGTACAGAAAATAAATTCCCTCCATATTATGGACTAGGTTAAATTACGACTAAGAGATGGCGCGCCATGTCCATTATGAACATTATTTTTGATAAAATATATAAAATGATTTTACATAAAAAAACGTCCCCGAAATTAAGCTTCGAGAGATGGTAATTACGCAAAAAAGTATGCAGAATCTTATGGTATCTTTTAGAGTGGTATGTCAAACATATTTTTCGGTATTCTTCTTGCTCGTCATCATATATAAAATAATTTAAACATGAAAAAGCGCTCCTGAAATTATTGGGAGATGAAAGATATTTACTAAGCTTTGGGGAACGACAATTGTTTAAAAAAGTATGTGGGATCTAATGGAGTTAACGGTTTTTGATTGCGATGCCAAAGTGGTACTTTTCGACATTATTTTTGTTGAAATATACAAAATAATTTAAATATAAAAATGCGTTTGTCAAATTATTAAGAGATAGAAGATAGCATTAGCTCAGCTTTGAAAAGATAATTATGTAGAAAAGTATGTAAAAAATCACAGTGTCAACGATTTTCGAGTGCAATGTCAAGTAGATACATTCCAGTATTATTTTTGTTATGACACGCAAAATAATGTTAACAAAAAAAAGCGCTCGTGAAATCTTTAGGAGATAAAAGGTACTTATTAAGCTTTGAGAAGTGACGATTGTGTAAAAAGGTACATAGAATCTCATGGTGTGAACCACTTGCGTGTGCGGTACCAAATTGGTACTTTCCGGCATTATTTTTGCTGAAATACTTAAAAGAATTTAAATATATAAATGCGCTCGTAAAATTATTGAGAGATGGATGAGGTTAAGTAAGCTTCAAGAAGGGATAGTAATGTAGAAAAGAACGTAAAAACTGATGGGGCCAACGGTTTTTAAGGGTAGTGTCAAGTAGATACCTTTCAGTATTCTTTTTGTTACTACACGTAAGATAATCTAAACAAAAAAGCGCTCGTGAAATCTTTGGCAGATAGAAGGTACTTATTAAGCTTTGAGAAGTGACAATTACGTAAAAAGGTACGTAGAATCTCACGGTGTTAACCGTTTTTGAGTGTGGTGTTGGTAGATACTTTTCAGTATTACTTTTGTTACTACACGTAAAATAATCTAAACAAAAAAAGCGCTCGTGAAATCTTTGAGAGATGGAAGCTATTTATTAAGCTCTGAGAAGTGACAATTATGTAAAAAGGTATGTAAAATCTCATGGTGTTAACCGTTTTGAACTGCGGTATCAAATTGATACTTTCCGGCATTATTTTTGCTGAAATATATAAAATAATTTAAATATAAAAATGCGCTCGTAAACTTATTGAGAGATGATTGGTATTTATTGACCACGTGGCTGGTAAAGCTATTAATTCTATACTTTAAGTAAAGCAAGAAGAAGTCTAACTTTTGGTGCAGCTTTATATTAATCATTATACAGAAGTAGGTAATTTTTGTAAAATCTGTATCTGTATGTGATAAATTATCCCTTGGCGGATATGCTTTTATTGTATTATTATAAGGTTCGGTAGCAGAAGACAACACCCACGAAGTGAGCATTTCCGTGGCCATGTGTTTTCTCCTATTTGATAGACAACTTTTGCCTTTTCATTTTTGACGCTTAGCGTGTACATGTACCACAAGTATGTATAATTGTAGACAATAAGGGTATGGGGTGAAAATGTTAAATTGCGTTCTATGTAATTACACTAATAAAATGTCATTTTTATTATCAGTCCGAAGTGTAACTGTTCTGCGTTCTCCTTATTTCAATGTAAAAGAGATTTTGTATTGGAAAAGGAGGGTGGAAAACAAGATCCGCCTTTTTGTGCTACGCGCAGGGGCACAAAAGAAAGGATGGTCTTTACACAAATTGTTTATGGAATTTGCAAAATTTAGACATTTCATTCCAGATGTTTTAATAATACTCTAACTGCTGTGGTTATTAGCAGAGATGTGCAAAATGGTTTTTTAAATGTATTTAAATATTAAAAATGCAAATACTTTTTTAGTTTGTTATTTCAAATGTAAAATACAAAATAGATTTCCCTTTTTTTTGAATGCTAAATGCAAAATACGTATTTTCAAAATACTTTTTTCATATAAATACTTTTTTTGAAGTAGATACCTATTTAATTTTCTAAATTCACTTAAGTATAAAATACTTTTTAAGAAAACATTGCAGGCATTTTTTAATTTTTTAAATATTGTTTTTCTAGACTAACAGTGATGTTTGCGTTTTATCACCAGCTGCGAATATTAAGCATGATTTATATTTTTGTGTTTGAAGACATTAAATATAGCGTTTCTATCTTTATGTTATCGTTTCTTCAGTTCAGCAACAAATAATTATTCTATATGCTTCCGTATTTGCCTTTGTCACCCGTTTTAATTAGAATAAAGACACTGATGCCAAAATAGTTTGTTTACCGTGAAAGACCAGAGCCAAAATGAGGTTGCAAATACTTTATTTATGTAAAATCAACATCAATCCTTTGATATGAAAATATTTACAACCCCATTTTGTTTCCGATCTTTTACACATTGTAATAAGAGAAAGAAATGGAATCCATAGTTTCTTTATCTTTAGGTTCATCTAATAAGTGATGTTTTTCGAATCGTTTTGTAAGAATTTTGGATTGTAGGCATTTATTAGTACACCATAATATCTTGTAGTTTTCAGTTTTACACAGCTGGCATATATCAATTCGATATTGTTTTGCGGGCTCTTTTGCCGTAATTTATATTTTTCGTAGTTTCTTGCTAAAGGTACGATAAGTGGTGATTTTGCAGGTGCTGATATCAATTTGGAACTTCAAAATTCCATGGACCATACATTGAACTTGGAAAACAATATCCATCCAATATTTTAGTTCAGTGTTTCCCAACCTTTTTTCCTCGCGAACCAAAAGAAAGGTCCGAAAAAAATTGTTGAACCCCCTATGTCCTTAACGACACGTAAAAAAAGCAATAAAATTTGATAGGATATATATTTCTAATATTGCAGAATAATTGATTATATTAATCGTGAAACATTTAAAGGGAAAACTGCTGCAATGATTTTAAATATAAAGCAGAACATGATACTAATCACATTGATAAAATGTTTTAAATATAAATAAATGTTTGTAATAAAAAGAGAATANGGGCTCATCTAACAAGTGAAATTTTTCGAATCATTTTGGATTATAGGCATTTATTAGCACACCACAATATCTTCTAGTTTTCAGTTTTACACAGCTGGCCTATATCAATTCGACATTGTTTTGCAAGCTATTTTGTCGTAATTCATAGAATTTCGTAGTTCCTTGCTAAAGGTACGATAAGTAGTGATTTGATACGTGCTGATATCAATTTGGAACTTCAAAATTCCATGGACTATGATACTGAACACGGAAAACAATATCGATCCAATATTTTACATTATCCATTTCTAAGGAGTTTAGATTTTTTTGGGCTGTCTTTAGTTATAGAATTAGAACGCATTCATGGAATCCCTCTTTGTCCCCTTTTTCACGCTTCTAAAAACTTCAATAGCCAATGTGAGCAACTTTCATTCATCATTTTATATAATGTTTGATCGGTGATACTATCAAAACTTTTAACGGCAAAAATGTATTTTACATTTTACAAATAGAAAATACGTTTGGAAAAGTATTTTAAACAAAATACAAAATGTTTTTTTCTAAAGAGTATTTAAATTCAAGATAAAAATAGGTATTTTTTATTTTGTATTTGCATTTTAATTGCAAGAATTTCAAATACATCACATCTCTGGTTGCTAGTCATTAACTAATATACTATACTGACGTTCTACCTTTTTTAATGAATATACTAAAAGACTTATTTACTGTTCGTTTCAAGTAGTTAGAGATATGCCCCTTCCCTTTATTAGGATGCACCGTAGCATAATTCCATTCAATCATATTTGTCTGCGGAGCTCATTTCTCCACGAGCGAGAACTAGACAAAATTGTACAGTACCATTTGCAAAATTATTTAAACTGCCTCGTTAAAATTTAAGAACATGCTTTATTTATAAGCATATTTAGCCAAAAATAATAACAAGTGAATTAACTTAACGTTCTACACACCTATAAAACTTTTGCTTTGTTTTCTGTTGTTAATTTATATACATTTTTGTTTTAAGAAATTGCTAAACAATTTCGTCTAGTACTGTACAGTTCTAGTCGATCTCCTAAGACCGCCCATCGAGAGCTCTGCTCGTTCAAGCTTATTTCAACTATTTCTGTCTTGCTCACGCCTAGTGTGTATTCTTTCTATCTTCGCGCAGATTTCTTCAAGGTCACAATTCTAACAAATTGATGTAGACTGTAATAAAGTATGTCGGCAACGACTCTGTGCACCAATTAGCAATACATATTTATTTATGTTTTTATCCTTTTAACATTTTCTGTATTCGTTCTATAGTACTTAGTTATAAATACGTATGTACAAAAGGAAGTAAACAAATAAACAAACATAGGTAGTAAAAATGTAGGACAAGCATCAGGTAGGTATTGCTCAATGAGTTACAGGGCCAATGGCATGAATGAATTTTTATATTTCAAGTTCTTGGTCAAATGTTAAATGAATAGTGTACAGTAACGTAAAATGGTTGAACAAAGCTGCAAACTGTTAATTGGCAAACATAATATGCCGTACACGGTTAAAACAATAACAGGTCTTTGGTTATACGTCGTGAAAAACTTCCGAATGACATGAGCAAACTTAAACTTACTAGCCTTCGGGTTCAAGAGCAATAAATACGCACCTTATGCCTATTATTACTGTTTACCTAATGATTTTTCCACTTTTACGTGCCTTTTTTACAAGAAGAACTGAAATTGTTTAAGGAATTATTACAGGGACTTTTTACAGCCATCTATTTAACTTCACATGCTCACTAGAGCGTTCCAATTTGTCATTTTAGACGAAAATTTTTATACAAATGC